GCTTTGCCAAAAAAAAAAAGATTTTTTTTTCTGAGCCCCCTAAACACAAAACCTAAGAGATTAAAAAATGTGAAGACAATAACATCCTTCTCCCTCTCTCTCTTTTTATCATGATGTTACTGAGATGATAGTTGAAATGATTGATGAAGATTGTTATTTTATTATTTTCTTTTTTTATTATTTTCATTGTTGATGAGTGGAACTAACTGTTTGTATTGGGAGATTGTTAAAGTTACGGGTTAATTGTTAAGGTTTCGAGTTAATGTTACGGGTTAATTGTTAAGGTTATGGATCCCTTCTCTCTCTCTCTCTCTCTCTCTCTCTCTCTCTCTCTCTCTCTCTCTTTATCATGATGTCACTGATAGTTGAAATGATTGATGAGGATTGTTATTTTATTATTTTTCTTTTTTATTATTTTCGTTGTTGATGAGGGGAACTAATTGTTTTTGTTTGTATTGGGAGATTGTTAATGTTACGGGTTAATTGTTAAGGTTACGGGTCTGTTTTTAAGGTTATGGATCTGTTGTTAAGATTACGAATCGGTTGTTAAGGTTACGGGTCGGTTGTTACGGTTATACGCGTTGGTTGTTAATGTTACTTGTTAAGGTTACGCGTTGGTTGTTAAGGTTACGGGTTGGTTATTAATGTTATACGTGTTGGTTGTTAAGGTTATGAGTAACGCTTAACATTAACAGCCAACTCATAACTTTAACAAGCAAACCGTAACCTTAACAACCAACACGTATAACCTTAACAAACAACGTTTAACCTTGACAACCAACGCGTAACCTTAACGGCAACTCGTAACCTTAACAACCAACACGTATAACCTTAACAACCAAATGATTTCATGAATACTTACAATTTATTCTAAATGAAGAGTTGAAATGAAAATAATTTGTTGTTTAATATTAGTTAGCCATACCAAACTTAACAAAAAGTTTACATAACTTGGTTCGCGACATTTACTAACTGATGAGTGACTTGTCTGCTTCTGATCAAAGACTCGTTGACAGTTGCCACATCAACACAAGGAAGGATGTCATTGAGAGCGGTGTGAGCGGAAGTGTGCTGGACCCACTCGTTCATGGATACACAAGTGTCAGCAACCACACTGTAACAAAAGATTATTTGAGTTTGGTATGGCTAACTAATATTAGACAACAAATTATTTTCATTTCAACTCTTCATTTAGAATAAATTGTAAGTATTCATGAAATCATTTGGTTGTTAAGGTTATACGTGTTGGTTGTTGAGGTTACGGGTTGTTGTTAAGGTTACGCATTGGTTGTTAAGGTTAATCGTTGTTTGTTAAGGTTATACGCGTTGGTTGTTAAGGTTACGGGTTGCTTGTTAAGGTTACGTGTTGGCTGTTAATGTTAAGTGTTACCCGTAACCTTAACAACCAACACGTATAACCTTAATAACCAACTCGTAACCTTAACAACCAACACATAACCTTAACAAGTAACCTTAACAACCAACGCGTATAACCTTAACAACCGACCCGTAACCTTAACAACTGATCCGTAATCTTAACAACCGATTCATAACCTTAACAACTGACCCGTAACCTTAACAATTAACCCGTAACATTAATAATCTCCCAATACAAACAAAAACAATTAGTTCCCCTCATCAACAACGAAAATAATAAAAAACGAAAATAATAAAATAACAATCCTCATCAATCATTTCAACTATCAGTAACATCATGATAGAGAGAGAGAGAGAGAATGGATCCATAACCTTAACAATTGTCCCGTAACATTAACAATTAACTCGTAACCTTAACAATTAACCCGTAACTTTAACAATCTCCCAATACAAACAGTTAGTTCCACTCATCAACAACAAAAATAATAAAAAAGAAAATAATAAAATAACAATCCCCATTAATTATTTCAACTATCATCTCAGTAACATCATGATAAAAAAAGAGAGAGTGAGAAGGGTATTATGGTCTTCACATATTTTAATCTCTTGGGTTTTGTGTTTCGGGGGCTCAGATAACAAAATCTTTATTTTTGGGGGCAAAGCACCCGTTGTCAAAGTCTTGGGAGGGGGCACGTTTTCATGGGTTTTGGGGGCTGGAAGCATTTTTCCCTAAAATTAATCACAAATCCATAATCTAAGAATCGAAACTATCGCAAGAGTATAACTAATATATATGTATTCGGATATTTCGTATACGGATACAGATATTTCACTACAAAACCATATCCGTAACCATATCCTATCGGTTATAGATTTGAGTAACCATATCCGTATCCTAACGGATACGGTTGCGGATATTTCCTCGGATACGGATACGGTTTAGCAACCCTACCTGTGAGAGTGATAATTGATAAAAGATGTTCAATTATTAATTCATTTGGAGTAGTCGTTTTCTTTTTTTATGTTTAAGATGTAAATGCTCATCAAAATTATACTTTACATAAACTTTTCATTCACTGTACATTATATATAATTACATATATCATTCTCCCTTTAAAAGAGGGAGTATGAGAAAAACTTTTTCTACCCAAAATACCCTTCATCTATCATAAATTTAACAAAATTAACCTTTTGTTTTGTACGTTATCCTAAAATCAGAAATCAAAAGATTAGTGGGTCTTTTGGGTTTCTCGCGGGAGTTTATTGGGAAGCTATTGTTACTGCCTTCATAACTCACCTACCCCTCTCTTTCTCTCTCAAAGATGCCATTACTTACCTGATTCTAGAAAAACCCTAACTTTGATTCTCTCCAAAAAAAACCACAAATCAACCAGAAAAAATCACTGGTCTTCATGAAGAATCGTAGAGAAATCATGGGTTAGTGTTTCTTTTATCTCGATCTCTACATACGGTTGTGGATTGAGGTTTTAATTTATACTCTCTGGCTCAATGTGGTCTCATCTCTTTAGATTTCCTTCTTGAACTGCATCTTGTTCAAAGATCTCCTTTTGAAAGGTATAAAACCCTAATCTATAGATCCTATATTGTCAGTTAGTTTTCCCCCATCTTTTGGGTAAAATTTACTCTGTTGTAAATAGATCTTCCATGAAATTGTTTATTCTTTTGTCTTTTTTATTAAAAGAGGAATCTTGCAAGATTTGTTAGATTGAGTTTATCATGTGCACTTTGCCGGCTGGTCAGCAACTAAGCTTTCTAATGTTTCTCCATATTTTTACAAATATATAACTTATGGGTGGAGTATGCACCTTAAATCCTTATTTATACGGCTAGAATAATAATCCCTTCAATTTCATTTGGGATAGAGATTCATGGCCGTGTACATTTGGCGTATGATAACAAATGTTCATGAGTTCTGATAGTCAAAAGTAGCTTTAGACTTTTAAACAATTTCTGATTTGGGAAATTATTTTAGAGATAATTTTCATTATAAATCATACATGTTACTGGTTACGTTTGTGTCAATTTGACTATCTTCAAGTTTATGTTTCTCAATTTGTTACTGTATCTATCGCCTCTGTTCATTCATCTCCTTCAAAAATCTTCAACCCCCTCTCCATAAAAAAAACCGAAACGACGGAGAAAGAAAAAAAGCAGAAGAAAAATCATAAAAAATCAGAAGAAATCAGATAAAAATGAAAACTTCAAGAGAAGTAGATCGACGACAGGCGAACCCGTTGACCTATAACTCGAAGTGATCGGGAGATGGAACTCCTCCTCTGTGACTTTTCAATAGATTCTAGAGTTTTTGGCGATAGAGACTTGCTATCTTTGATAAGTTTTGGTCTGTGAAGATTGTAAATATTCAGTTGATATGATTTTTTGTTATCTAGCTTATTTTTTTCTTTTTTAATCATATTTTGGTTATTTTTCTTGAAAGCGAGAAGAATTAAAAGTTATCCATGGGAAAGAGACGGTCATCTGAGGTTGATATTATCTCTGGTATTTATCTCAGCTTCTTACCTATCTTCATCTTTTCCTTTTTCTTATTTTTTCTGATTTTTTTCTTCTTTCTGTTATAGAGAAGAATTTATTTACGGAGATCCATGCGCTAATCTTTCAAGTATTTATCTTCTTAGATTTATCGAAATTATTCTAATTGATTCCCTGTTATGTAACTTTTTTTTATTTGAAGTTTTTAAGTAGAGATTTCTGGGCAGTAGAGACTTCAGTTGATTGAAGCTTAGCACCTAAGGTATTTATTTTCTTAAATCTATGAATATTTATAAATTTTGTGGCAAACTCTATTCATTTTTTGAAAAAGTTGAATCCTATATATAATAAATCTAAAAAATAAATTGAAAGAACAACTCTAATTTATTTAAAATTTATTTCAGTAGTCTAATCTTTTTTGACTTATTAGTGTTCGCGGGGAAAACTGTTGTCTTTTTCATTGAAATAATCGTCATCTTGGGTTACAAAAGATCCGGTCTTTTTTAGATCCGGTTACAATTAAATCAAAGAAAAATAAGAAAAATTACAACTTTCCTTTTGTGAACAAATCGCGAGCTCCTGTTTTGCGGTCGCTCGCTTGTGTGGGTTCTTTGCCAACGCCGGGGTTAATCCGTGGACCACCGCGCGATCTAGATCCGGTCGGATCTACACGATTATACGGGTATTATTCCACGAAGGGAATAATAGCCGAGAGGGATTAGTCCACCAAGGGAATAATCGCTCGGATCTCGAGATCTAAGACCAAGCTTAGATCTGGAGTGTAGTCTCGTGTAGATCTCAGATCTGTTCTTTCTTCCTCTCGAAATCCTGCCTTTTCTGACGTGGATGCTCGCCGAGGATCAGATCCGAATGTGCAAGTCTTCAAGTCTTCAAAGCTCCGAGTTCGCTCTTCAATCCGGCAGAGTTTTGGCTCTTGAAATTCCAACCTTTGAAAATGAACAATGCCTAGCCTATTTATAGGCTCTCTGGACTGTGCCCGCGCACAGGAAAACGTCGGCCACCTCTGGGTGGCCGGCACTGTGCCGAGCCACCTTGAGGTGGCTCGGCTCTTGGCCAAGCCACCCTGAGGTGGCTCGGCCACCTTTCTGGTTTTGTCCGTGATTCGGTTGATTGAGACTCTGATTTGTTGATCTGATTTGGCAGTAAGTCTGATTCCTGATTTGGCAGTAAATCCACTTCTGAGTTCGAGTCCGAAACTGATCTTGATTCGACCGTGATTCGTCCGAGTCTGTTCCCGGTTGGATGACTCGTTGATTCTTTAACACTTGGCTTGATTCCGAACGCGTATGGATTCATTCCGTTGTTCGCGTGCGATTTGTTGATCTCGTCGTCTTGTTGGTTCGTCGGTTTGTGCCGAGCTGTGCTAAGGGACCTATAAGCAGTTTTATATGCCTACAGATACCCCCTCCAAAGTATTTCAGTCTCGTTCTTTTATAGAAGAGTCTGGAATACTTTGGATATGATTGTCCCTACCTTCAGTCGGTGTAAATGAGACCTTGGAATGATTTCCGTTCTTGATTCCTTCGATTCTCCAGGCTTTTCGGTGCTTTGTCGAAAGTCTGTAAGAGTTCCGGTGCTGCATTTATTGTCTGACCGTTGTCGGAATTTTAAACTTGGAGTTGATTCCTGATCTTTTAGCTAAACATCGATTGTTGGCGTCGAGTCTTTATTTGCAACGCGTTGTCCGGCGTAGTGTTGTTGAGTTATCCTTAAGAATATTTATAAAAAACATTCTCCAGGAACTTCTCAACAAAAATTAGGGAACAGTTTATACTCATATAATTGGAGTGTTTTTGTGCCTAAATGAGCTGAACCGGCTTAAAATGGGCCAAAAAAGGCAGTAAATCGGCTCAAAAAATCCTCCGACTCTTCCGAACAAATGGGAGAGGAGTGAGTAAATGATGGACTGAACCGTCGCTCGATTTGAAGTCGTTTTGATGCTCGGTTCGGCTTCAATTTGGATTCTGGTTCAAAACCGGTCCGGTCCGGTTCGGTTCGGTTTGGTTCAACCCGGTTCACCCTATAAAAAAAGGGTGTTTTTCTTTTTCTTTTCCTCCACCTAGGGCTGGCCCCCCTCTTGTCTATTTTTTGCTTTTCTCTTCCCTCAAGCATCCGATCTCTCTAAAAATTTGATAT